AAAAAAAACCTTTAAGCGATAAAACTACAATCAGAAACAAAGATCTTTTTTTAAAAACATGTTTCTTTTACTCGTAGTTATGACTATATGGAGGTGTTAGGCAGATGTATCTAAAGCAAGAAGAACAAAGTTCACAGTTTCAATGTAGTCCTAAATGTAATTAGAGAAAATGTGCAATGCAAACCACTGATTGCTGATGCTTGTTTTCCTGGTCATGAGTATCTCATGCTATATTTTTCTAAGGAAACCTTAGCCAAGATAGACCTTTTTGTTTTTTGCCATTTCTATGCTGCTTTAATGGGCTACTCAGATTCTTCTTTTCTAGCTTTCTCAATAATACGATATGAAAGTGCTGTGTTGTTGCAGCCAACTAGAGCTGCAGGTACAAATGAGCAGAAAAGAGATGTGGCTGTTCACCACCACTAAATAAACTGACCTAAAGATATAATCAATTGAGAAGGAATAAAAGAATAGAGAGGCTAGAAACAGAAGGAAACAAACCAACCTTTGCCAGACAATTTTAAAAAAAGGTCAGGTGGGAAATTTGGAATGAATGTACGAAGAGATTCCTCATTTTTAGATAATAATAAACTTTCCTCGTGCCATAATGAAGGCTATCCCAATTGAAGTCCCATCATCTACTGTATATAGCAATCATCCCAAACTAATGTTTATCTCAGGCAAGACTTTTTTGCCCTAATACTTAAACCCCTGTGGAACTTTTTCAAATCGTTATTCGACATAGGTGATTCCGTTTTTATAGTGTTTGTAGTTGCATCATTCTCCTTGCCTCCACTGCATTAATGAGAGACAGCAGTTTTGTACCTAGAGGACTATTTGTTAAAACACAGCGCTGGTAATAGTCCCCTCTCCCTGAAGGAGTTGTATAGTAGAAGAATGACAAAGGCACTAAGAATTTCTTAAATACGGATGGCAATCTGTTATCAACATTTGCTCACTAATTGTCCCCATCAATGCCACTTATAAAAAACATGGTTATGTAACACATGCTCATGTAACACAATGACAGCATCCTCAGACAGACAGAACATAGACTAGATTTCTCTTCAACTGGAAAAACTATATATAGAAAAGTAAAGCCAAACTCTGCCTGAATTC